GCGTATTTGTCTAGCAGCATGACATCAAATTCATGCAATGTTGGCCTGCATATGCATTACATAAAACAGTCTTGTGCAGCAAGCAATGAAAAGCACACAAGGTGCATGCTACATGTATTCATTTATAACTAAGTACTCTATACCAGGGAAAAAAGCCTTAGAGGCCAATTCTCAATACTGACAGTGCTTCGCAACATTCTGTGGATAAACAAGACTGTTTAGCTCCCCCGTTCCCCCAACACTCCTCAGTACTTTCACTGGTCCAGCTAGTGTAAAGTGACCATTTCTATGCTCAATAACAGATGCCCTGAACAAGACAGTGTATTTTGTATGAAGAAGAAGTTCATATAAGCAGCATGGGAACTGCAGGTCTGACCCGCACCTCCCAGGTACCTATTGCTTTATGGGACCAATTAAAAGATTATTTCATTTAATGCCATCATAAACCAATCACCAAGCACCACTGGAATACAAAACCAGAGTCTGGAAGACAGTTATCCTTACATGGAAAACAAAACAGAAAGCAAAGAAAAATCTTCAGAGTTCTACAAAGAAATGAGGGTCTATTGAGTTATTTTCTACATATTTTTATCACAATTACAACAGGTCCTCCTTTTTCTACCATTTCTCTCTGCAATCATCTTACCAGTCCCAGGTGCAATTTGTGATTCGTATTGCAGTAAGAATGGCTCTCCTACAATCCATGAACTTTGCATAGCTGGTTATTACTGCAGCTGCTAATGCCAGCTCCATTTATGCTTCTCTAGGACTGACAGCTACATCTGTGGATTTTTTAAATCATTCTCAGCTTTCAGCTGTTACTGATTTAATATCAGGATGTGCTCCAGTTTTACTGATTGGAGCAAAACTAAAGCTAGGAATACCAGAAGGTTATCATCTACACCTAGATTCAGTGTGGAGAAAGATCAGGGTACCTATACTCAGTGGAGGGAGGAAAAAAAAAATCAACTATTCCATGATACAAGACAGATTATTACATATTTGCTTTAAGCACAATTTTCACACCTTGTGTTAATGTTATTGTGGGACTTGTGAATCTGGAAATCTTACTTTTCAAGCCACTGTGCTGCATTCCCTCAGCATTTAGTAGTGAATTCCCCCAAACTGATTTTTTAAAGAGCACAACAAAGATATGACAAATTCCCACCACTTAACTTGGAGTACTGCACTTACTTGCATGATTACAGGATCTGATGGTCATGCGATATCTAACCACTGCAATAAAGCTACACTTACCTCAGTGAATGTACACAGACACCTTGAAGCCCATTCCTGCACTATGAGAAAGCTATGTATGCATTCTTAAATGTATGCATTCTTAAATGTATGCTTTTCTTTACCTGAGCAGAAAAAACTAACAGCTCAGGCTTTGAGCATACACTTTTTTCCCCCATTCTAAATGAAGAATAATCCAACTTCACAAGTTCCCAAATAACTCATACCTTCCTCTCAAATATTTTTACACTTTCAGGAATACACACTTCTGACAGCTATGAAAATATGCTAAGTTTGAGATTCAAGGAAGAGTCACATTTCACTCCCCAATGCACAGAATTCATTTTGCACCATAGATTATTCACTTCCACAAACACACAGAAATGATTGCAACCTTTCCTCCTACCCTTACATAATAAACAACTTGTATAAAGAACAAACTCCTTTGTGAGTTGAAGATAAGTGCAGCAAAGCTGACCTAAAAATCAGAAATGTACGTGCAAATAAGGAACACACAACTGGTACTGAAATTTCATTCCAAGTGCAGGGTTTCATCTATACTTTTATGATAAAGTGGAGTCCATGACCTGTCTATTATTGCCAGTCCCCAAATTCACACAAGAGTCTCTAAAATTATGAAATTTTAAATATGGTTTACACTGATAAATTTAGTAGCAGCAGCAAGTATACCATGTTTATCATTAAAAAAGGAATGGCTTGATATCTGCCATTTATTCTTAATCCTCCTGTATCTATTGAGGATTACTAAAACAGGTCTCAGGCCAGCAAAGGAAAGTTAATGTTGAAAAGGCTGTGGGCTTTGTTCTGAAGAACCTCATTCTAACTGTTGCTCTATTTTACGTCATCTCTTGAACAGAGCTACCCCTGGTGCAAAGGATGAAAACAAAATGCTAATAGTTTTATTTCCAAAACTGAGGTAACATAGCCATTTAAAAGCAACAGATACTATTTTAGAGTTGTTTCATTGTCAAAAAACCCCAACGCTTTCCTTCCACAGTAGGATTTCACTTGGCACCAAGAGTTCTCTTACTTATGGTACAGTGAGTTTCTCACAGCAGACAGAGGTCCTGACTTAAGACACATATATACTTCTGAAGCCCATCAGGGCACAAGATAGATGTGTTCCTTAATGCCACATTCAGTTATGAATTAGCCAAAGGTCCGTACATACGAATTGGGATCACAGTGCTGACTTGTTCATGTCCATTAAAAAGAAAAAAAAAAAATCACAAGAGCCTCTAGGTTAATAAGTTTAATTCCTCCTTAAAGGTAGAGATATTTGTTAATAATTGAACTAGGCCATGTTATAGACCATACCACAAATTATATTGAAAGTCTTTCACTCAAATCAGACTTCATATACAACCCACCAGTGATACATATTTAGAGAAGTGATAAATGTTTCAAAATTAGGCTCCACTTCTAACAAAACAGTTTTCCCTGTCCCTAACTGTCTGGCTAAGACTGATCCTTAAACGGTAACTGCTGCAAAAGCATTTGAAGCAGCAGTGGGACTTGCCTAGGCAGCACTCCAAAATACAGGAAATCCCAATGTTTTATTTTTAATTGTCTTTTTTTTTTTTGTATTTCCAATTACTGTTTTTCTGCTCTGCTGCATCAGTAACAATGCCTTTCTGTTCTCTAATGCAAAGCCTGACACTTTAACAAATTACTGCTCTCAGAAAAAGGAATATGCTCAATTTTAGCACACAGTACCAGGCTCCGAAAATGCAGACTAACTGAGACAGAAGTGCCAGGTTTTGGAACTGAAATGGCATTAGCAATATGGAGAAGGTAAATTAGCTGCCATGCACTAAAACTGAACCAGCAATTACGGGAGTCATCTCTAAAAAAGCCTGAATCTCCTAAATGAGAAGCATAAAGGCTTACCAACACATGGTTTTAAAAGTTGGGTTGGAGTGGCAGGAGAAGCACAAGGGATCAAAAGACACATAAAACAAATAAAAAAAAAACACCCAAAAAGGGAAGGAGAGAAAAACCACTGCAAAGGAACATGCTGAACATGAAAAATACATCAACCTGTACCAGCAACAGAAAACACCCTGAGGTCATTCCCTCATTCGCAATCTCACACAAGCTGCATTTTATCAGCAAGAAGAAAAACTAAGTGCAATTGCTTTCACATTGTGAAGAGAACTTAATTTTCTGTTGTGTACATGTAGCACATTTGATCTTCCAAAAAAGGCTGTTCCCTCCAAGCTTTGCATTGTTTTGTTTTAAAAAGGTGTGTTTAACCAGTTCTGTGGCACACATACTGTCAAATACAACAACTGTGAAAGGGAATGGCCAAAACCAGGTGCTGTTAAAAATCTTTCTGCACTTCATCTGCTCCCTCTTCCTCCCCAAGAATGACAAAGGGCAAACAACTTGCAGCAGAGCCTGAAAATTAACCAGATGGGGCTGAATAGAAGCAATTTCACAGTTGCAGACTTTCTGAAATTAAGTCAGGGGCACGTTGCATACAGCAATCGGACCGAGTGCCCCTGTACTGTATAAGGAGACAGCTGTCCTCCCAGCTACCTAGAATTCAACTATGATTTCTACAGCTATAAAAACATGTTCATTTTAGAATTGCATCTGGAAATTAAATAGTTTAGTGTGTTCCCTTTCAAAATACTGGTGGCAGCATTTTGCAAAAGATGATACTTTCAATTTAGAGTTTATTTCCAACCACAAAAGCCAAAATAATCAAACATACAATTCTTGATACCAAATCCAGAATGCAGATAATCTCAGAGTTTATCTAAGCCAGCATTACTGCTGGTGAGTGGTTCGCTATCATCTATAAGTGAAAAAAACCCCACGCCCATCCCCATTTGCAGGCAGCAATAGTCAGAAGTCAGTAGGGTAATGCCTGTCAGCAGACAATTACTGAGGCTGTCTTTAAATGAGTAAATTTCCATCTTTTCTCTCTTGAAAAAAGAGACAGAACACAGCAAGAATACAAAGTTGTCCTTGATTTTTTTTTTTTTTTCCCTGCAAAAGTGTGACAGGTCTTGCATTATAAAAGGTTACACTGCTGTAAGCTCAAGTACTCACCTGCCAGGCAGATGAGTTGAGGCTGAGCTCTTTCTTCCTAGGCATACTGCCCAAAGTAATTTTAGTTTCATATGTGCCACTTGCTAGACAAAAAAAATCTTAAGCCACCCTTAAAGGAAAGGCTTTATTTTTATTTTAAAGGTACAACTGACAGCCATCAGAATGCTCATCCCCATCAGATCTACTGAAAGCAGGTATAGACTTAACCAAGTTACTGTAGTTCATGATGTTCCTGCAGTTTAGCAGAGCTGTGGTAATAAATCATCTTCACACGCAGCCCACAGCAATTACAGGGTATTAAGCCCCACCTTGAACAGCAAAGGAACTTCAGGCCAGACAGTCTAAAATAAATTGCTTTATTTTGGATTTGCTGTAGTCACACAGTTACCTTTGCTCTTGACGCACAGTGACCTGCTAAGCTGTCATAACTGGATTGTATTTCTAAGCCCTACAGCTTTCAAGGGAGTCACTTTGCGTAGCTTAACTCCAGGTATTTCAAACTGTGGGCACATTTTAACCTTTTTTAATCTTTACTTTTTATGTAATCAATCTGAAAACAAAATGCTACATTATTCCACAGTTACTGCTGACACAAAACAAAGTCCCACTACATCTGCCAGCCCACCCAGTTAATAAATGGCACAATTTGGCCTGCCTCAATACAGGCAAACCAAGACCCTTACCTGCTCGGGGCTCGATTGTCTTGTTGGAACTTGCATCCATGAAGACAAACCGCCCACCACCAAAGTCTTCAGTGTAGTCAGAGAGATAGAGCAGTGAAGTATAGTCAAAAGAGCCATAAGTTATCTAGAAATAAAACATTACCAAAAATTAGCAAATTCTACTCTCATCCCTGCAGAGCACAAATAATTAAGCACATGGATCTGATGGGTTTTTCTAATTTTCCAGTTTTCACATATTTATTAAAGGGATCTCTGAAAGCTGAGAACATTCTTTTCTAGAAATGATGTATGTTTATTAGTCTATTCTGTTTACACACACAATATACAAGACTAGCATGTTATATTATTTCTATTATTACAGTTTCCATAATTAAAGAAGCACTCCTATTAATTTCTATCACCCTAAGTCTACGAAACAGCTAGCAAAAAACAACATAGTGTCAGAAGTTACACCTCTGCATTGTATCAAATATATAGAAGGGCTCTGATTATTTATACTATTTCAAGATAAAATTTCACCATAAGGTTAATGAGACCCAAGACAAGCCTTTGACTAATTAATTCCACCCATTATCTAATCATGGTTATAGGTTTCTAGAAACCTCATCTTTTACTCTTTCACCAGCTACCAATGCAGGAGCTTCATGGTAACAGTGAATCAGACTGTTCCAAGTAAACACACATTTGTTGGAGGAACTTCTACTCTTTTTCATACAGATTTTGTTTAAAAACCTTCAAACGTGACTTTCAAAGTCTCTGCTTCTTCTCAACATACAGACCAAACACCCCATTTTTAAGTATAACAAGGCGATTTTCCTTCCTTTTAAAGTATTATTTTTGCTTGATATACAAGTTGAAGATGGAGAAAAGACATACTGTATATTAATGCTCAGAGTGAAGCTATCTAAATATTTAACACTGAGTTTAGCTGATTCTGGAAGTATTTCCTTTTCATATCTACACATCACCAACAATTAAAAATATACTTAAAATCAATGGCTGTGTTCTCCAATTTCTTCACACAACTCAGTCAAGTTCTGCATGACATTGTCAAACAGTGAAATGTGCAGCACAGTAGTACTGTATAAATACACAGCATTTGCAGAATGTTTCGACTGACCTGGTGACTGTTAGAGGTAGGTGCTACTTCCAAACTCAGAAGTTTTCTAAATATTTTCAGTTTGGTTTTAAGTTACATTCATTAGTGCCAGTTAAATTTTGGCTCAACAGCAGTTGTACGTATTATTCTGTAAGGGCAATGACTAAAGAGAACACAGCAGCAGATGGAATAGGAAGACATTTTCATTCTTACTCATCTTATTATTTTGACCATAAGGGCTTAAAGGAAAAAAGCCAAATCTGGTGATATGCTGCACTACACAGTCTGAATCGCAAGAATGAGAAAAATGTTGTGGTGATCCCCTTCTCCCCATATTTACCCAAACCTTAGTAGCAATACAAGGCGATAAAGGGGAACTAATGAGCATGTGGTGCTGCAGCAGCACCTCAAAACAGACATTCTACAGCCCTCCTCATGCAATCAGCTTTACAAACCTATTTTCACCTTCATTGATTTGGTGATAAAACTTCCAGTCAGCTTAAGGAAGTCTTCCAGCCACTGAAGGCATTAGCATAGTGAAGAAGCTCATTCAACGCATACGTCCAAGTCTAATCCATTAAAATTGTTTCTGTGAACTCTTCAGTGGTACAGCAATCTTTGCTCCATCAGTGTACTCTCTATCCTCTCCAAGATGGCTTTACCAATTCTGAACTTTTAAGAGCTGACTACAAACCATTTTAGCCTAACCAAACACATCTGATTTCTATAGATTCCTAATTTGGGGAACCAAGTATGCAATGGAAAATGGCCTTTCTGTTCTTGTTCGTTACTAACTCTCAGAAGGCAGCCATGCCTGAGAAATGCAACACCTCGGAAAGGAGGCGCTAAATTATACTCAGTTATTTAAAATGCCAGAAGTCATCCATGTATATCAAACAGATTTATTACCCTAGTAATGATTTCCAATACCACAAAGGTTAATAATTGAACCAGAAGTTCAAACTATGTGAGAAAAGCTGTCATTAAAACCAGGTGATAAGCCATACAGGCACACTGCAGCAAATCAGATTTCTGTAGTTCCTTATGAACAATTCAACAACAACAACAAAAAGCAGGCATTTCCACTCAGCCTGATATTTCATACAGTTAGTGTGCTCTTTTTGAGCACCCTTTACTCAAGTAAGTCAAACACAGCTGATTTAACGGTAGGTGCTCATAATGATATGTATATGATACTTCTTTAAAGGCTATTATAAAGACAACTAATTGTCAGAATTAGCCAACCACATTTTGCGGTGTGGCACCCTGGGGCTTTTGAGGGACACATGTTTATATGCCACTAAACAGTTGTAGGAACACGCAATAGGCCTGCAGTTACTAAGATAGGTACGTAGGACAGCATCCTCTGCTTTCCATCGCAGAAGAAGATACAAATGTATTCACTTTCCAATCAGCATAGGTCTAGCATGCTATCTTGCAGAAATAAGAGTCAAAACTGCTCTTTTCCTGTAAGCCTCTACTTACCTCTTTGTGCAGATAATCACAAAAACAGCCCTGACAGCTACTTCCAATGTTCTATATATTGGTAGTACCTATTTAGTAGGCAATGTAAGACACCAAACAGCGTGCCTCTGAATTACAAGGGGCTGTAGGTGAGCTGAGGTAACAGGTTTGAGCAGACACAAGAATAAACTTCCTCAAATTTCAAAGACGATGCTGTCCTGAGGCAGAAGTAGGATCTTTTGATGTATTTCATTAAGTGTCTAACAACATGAGGGGAGGAAAAAGAAGGGTGAAAAGTCTGCTAGAACAGATAGCACCTGCTATTAGTAATAGCCTCGACAGCCAAAGGAGAGAGGGCTGCTAGAAGGGTTAGGGAGATGGAGAACATATCACAGGTAAGGAGACTGGAAGGTTTGGCTTGTTCAGCTTAGAGAAAGAAAGGCTGAAAAGGGATATGATTGCTACCTATGAATACATGGGGATGGGAGGAGGGAGAAAATAGCTATAAACTGATCATGAACAAGTTTAGGCTAAAAAAAAAAAAAAACAAAGAAAATTTGCACTGAAGTCCTGGAATAGGTCTGATAGAAGAAATTCAAGGAAAACAAACCAAAACTGATCTTATGGCAGGGCCTGACAATTCTGTGAAGGTTGACAGGATCCTCACGCAGGCAAGGAACTGCAGAAACCTTCAAGTCCTGCCTCACTTCTTTTAGAGAACGTTATAAGACTATACTGCTGTCAGAGTTGAGCATGCAACAGCAATTCCAGTATAAATCAGACATTTGAAAGGCTCAGTTCCAAACAAATTCCATCTAAGATGAAACTCCACGTCTTAAGCCAACACTCTCTTTGATTTAAATGCTTATAAATTCAACAAGGTTAAATGATTCATTTGGGTGATTTCAGGGTTTCCATTCCTATATAACTAAAAACCAAATAAATTTTAGGAAAAAAAACCCAAAGCCTCATATAGACACAATAGATCTGTGCTACTCCATTATGCAGTTAAAATCTTCCAAACCAAGGATATTCAGATTGAGAAATATAATTGCAATAGACTCAGCAATATAGGGAAAAAGGCAAGAGGGGTATTCATGTGCTCCAAGAAGCCTACATCTTTGACCCAACAGTGTCAAGACTTTGAAACAAAAAAAATGTGTCAGATTCATTTTTCAAAGGCTTAATTTTACCTTTCTCTTGGAAAGAGGCAGCAGAAAAAAATTCCTGAAGTCTTCCAGGAGCAACCGTCACCATTTAATTATTATGCAGAAATACATAAAGTGATTTATCTGTTCCAAGGGGAAAGCATAAATAATGATACAACACCAAAGCACCCAACAAACTGGCAAAATATTTAACAGGCTGAGTTTTATTGATCTTTCTTCAGCTCCCTGGTATTCACACTTGTTTTGGAGGCAGAGTAAGACTACTACTGCTCTTATCTGGGAAGTATTTCCTACCTCAGATCAGTAGCAACGCTTTTTTTTTCCCCCCTTGCTTTCAACTGCAGTCTGGAAGTGGTAAGCAAAACTTAGTTTGTTGGAGAAATTAAAATACAAGGCAGGCTGACTGCACCAAAGACAACCTGTGAAGCTATACAACTTGTCTATCCTATTTAGACTTCCTTGAAATATTTCCTGACCTACTGACCTTCTATTTGAATTCAGTCTCCTACATAGCCCGATCAGCTATAAATACTTATTTTTACCTCTTTCTAAATACGTAACAATATAGATACAGATATACATAATGTACAGTTATAGTAGGTTAAAATTACATGCAGATATATATATTCTACACATACTATAACATTTTTTGCAAGCCATGATCTGGCAAACATGTATGTGAATGCTACATCCACATATAGCCGTGTTCCAATTGCACTTAAGGGGAGAATAATACCAGACCTTTTGGCACACAAACAGAAGTTAGAGAGGAGAGGTGAATTAGAGGCTTGTTTGTGCAGCAAGGAAAGGATTCAAATTAATCCTTTGATGCCAATTCAAGTGAATGATGTACCAGAAGTGAAGGCGGCCAGTGTCCAGTAGCAATGATACATAATGATGTAATTTGGCCTTTCATGATGGACATGAAGTGAACAGCATCAAGGATGTGTTTCTATCAGACCCTATTTAAAGCATCACTAGCCCGGTTCAAACTCTGAATTTTCAACCAAGTATGCTGGGGGGTGTGTGTGTGTGTGTGTGTGTGTGTGTGTGTGTAAATTCTACATGATTATGAACGAGGTGTTTAGCAACTGCCCCAACTGGGATAGTCACCTCTGCACTGCTGTCATAAATCAGACTACTCAGTTATTCAGTATGGAAACTATTAAGGTTGAGGTTATCCATAGCAAGTTTAAGAGACCACATTTTGTGTTTGTTTTGTTTTTTGAAGCTGGGGGTGGGTTAGAAAAAGCCAAAGCCAATCAGTTGATATATCTGCTCCCTGAACAGACAGTCTGCGAGATAAATAAAGTGTGGACAAAACAGATGGATAAAAACAGCAAAACATCTAGCCTGCTGTCCATCATGTATAGGCACCATCAGGATACCATAACAGAGAAGCAGCTTCTACAAAGGAAGCAAATTCTCTTTGTGGAAACAGATTTGCTTCTAAATGACAAAATAACTTGTACGTTATAGGAGAGACTTAGGTGGAAACACTTAATTGTGAGGTTATCCAACCACCCTATTCATTTACCAATGTGAAACACATGCAGAAAAGAATAAAGAGAATATTGGCAAGCCTAATGCAGACACAAATCTCATTATAGTACTAAATCAGAGTCTGAAATTCGAAAATACGCTTTTTTGGGCTGAAAGAAAACAGTGAAGAAAATAGCCATCAGCTATTGAAATTTAGTTCTTTCTCTTCCCTTGTGGCAGTCAAATTTGATTCTCTGAAAGCATGGAAAAATGAGGAACCCATGATATTCGGTGTCTCTTAGAAATGAGTGCAACATGTGATGAACCCCACCAGCACGATTTGTTCCCTACAACCAGTTCCTACCAGCCAAAATCTACTAATCCTACTAGTCAAAATCATCCCTACCACCTCTGGTCCTAGGTCCACTCCTATTCAATGGTTACATCACAGCTTTTTAAACAAGAAGCATCTGACAGCTGGTCTCATCTTTGTTATCTCAGTGACTGCAAATTCCACCCTGCATTACTTTCTTCTTTTAAACAGCAGCTGTATTGGGTATCATCCAGTCACCATGTTTTCTAAATTTAAGCTGCTTCTACCTACATGACAAGAAAGGGCACAGGAGCTTACATTAATGTTGTGAGCAACAACAGACATTTTACTTCCCTCAGACTGACTTTTTCCAGGAAATATTTTCAAGGCAAGAAATAATTCTCAGGTTGATTTTTCATCTTAGACGTTTCAGGTCATAGACTTCAAGGTACACTACCCACATACAGACCAGCACTGAGACATAACTTCAGTCTTGATGGGATAAGCTTTATTTAGTTCCATCTTGGGTGATCCGTGACTCAAGTGACTAAATTTTTAGATCCTGAAGACATGAAATGTGGGTATTCTGGGTTTTTTGGGAGGGTTGGTTTTTTTGCTATTTGATTCTTCCATTGTTAGTTTGTATTCTGCTTTGCTGCACGGAACCTTTGAACTCGGTTAAATGCAGAAATAACTCAATACCAATCCCAAATCATATAAGTCCATTGAGAAATGCAAAGTATTAAGCTAAAGCCTACAGATAGAAGACTATGCAGTTAAAAGTCACAATATTTACATTCAAAAAAACCAATAAAACATCAAATTATTAAGAGGGTACCATATCCCCATTGAAGAACATTCAGTAAAAAAGCCTCAATTCACATATAACTGAAATATAACCATTAAGCATTTATCAAGAGGCTCACATCAACGAACACTGACTGACTGACCATTTTGAAATAGCTCCTGCTACACCTGGCTGAAAGAGCGATAGCCTAACTAGAAACACAGGTTTGAAGAAACTGAAACACTTTGTAGGTACAAGTCAATTTAATCAACATTTCAGACAAAAGAGACTCCTGAGTAGTCATTTACATAATTTATTAATTCTAGCAGAACTAAAATAGAGAAAATAAAATAAAAAGAAATGTACTGGCCTATGTTTCCAAAACTTACTTATTCTTCCATTAGGTTCATCCCCCAAAGTATTTTTACAAGCACCAGTTTTCAAACATGTTTGATTGTTTAATGCAAAATGACTTTGAAGTGATCTAATAAAAGCAGGAAACATTTGCATCCCATCTCAGCCTCCTACTTACCTTGTCAACATGTGGGTGCCAGTATTCATCGTGCGTTGTCTTAGCTTCTGTGTTGTTTATTCTCGAGAAGAAGGTTGGTTTAGTCAGGTACATGGAAGCAGAGCTGATACCAAACGCCTGAGCAATCCTTTGTTGAATTCTCAGTCTTACATCACTGCAAAGAACACACCACAGCATGCTAAGTGACACTTCTCTCCTCTCCTTCATTCACAGTTACTGCTTCTTCAGGGCTAAGCTTCTCCTCAGCTAATAAATCAAGAGGAACATATACCCATACTTTCCCTCTTATTTTGCCTCAAATAAAGGAGATCTACCACATCAAAAAAAAGAGGACCCACAGTGTTTTGGGTTGGGGTTTGTTGTTTTGGGTTTTTTTTGTTTTGTTTTGTTTTTTAATTCTCAGAATATCAAGAAAAAGAAACTGTTTGTGGCCTAGGTGTTAAAATTTCTTTGTGTGAATAGCCCGCTTTCCTGAAAAATTCTACACATCTCACTGTTTATTAATTACTGAAAAGATTAAAAGTGTTTCACATATAAATTTTTAATGCAAATCAGATAACTACAAAGTTGTATCTTCATAAAGGGTTGCCTCTGAAGCACCTTCAACTATTTTTACACTAATTTTAAACCAACCGATGAAGTCCCCAGCACCATGAAACTCAGGGCTCTCGGTCAACATATGTATTGGTATCATAATCAGATTTTCCTTAAAAATTAATCCAAGATGTCTTTCGCAATATTTTCAAAGATTCAACCAAACTATTTCTACCTTGGCTATTTCTGTGTTTCCTGTTTCTACCTTGGCTATTCCTGTGTTTCTTGGGAGACAGGAAGAAAAGAACAGGATTTTTATTTTTGAAGTTATTAAGACTAATAAACGCACATGCATTACTACACAGAACTGCTTATATAGCAGCATTCATCTTTCAGGACAGATATCACTGAATACAGGGCTAGAACAGGGACATCTAGAACTGCCAGCCTTAGTTCAGTCAATGCCGCTTTTAAAGAGAAGAGATTTGTGACTAATGAGGAATACCACTGGCAAATCTCACCAGTAAACACATACAGCTAGCATGTATTTAACTTTAAGGAAACTTAAAAAGTAGCAAAGAATGCAATAACACAATGAGATTAAATTAAAACATTGGGGTTTTTTAGATGTAATCCTCTATGCGTCTTAAAATCTTTATATTGTTTTTTCCCACTTTTAACACATTCTGAGCTATTTCTGTTAGTCTTCCTTTTCTTCCTTCCCAAGTGCTTCAAAAGCAGCACACAAACAAGATACTCTGCGTAAACACACTTCTGAAGTTGTGCATGGAATTACATTAGTAGTTTTGCATCTTTTCTGCATCAGACATTTACTTCTCACTGGGTAGCACTGAACTTCAGCATAATTTTCAAGAAAGCTTTTCCCAAGTTCTCTAGGGAACTTAAACAGTGACTAAAAAGAAGTGACAGAACTAAAACCAGACCTACAATGTTAGGCTGTGAAAGTCGCCTCTTAAAACTATGTCCACAAGTACTAAAAAAAATCCTAAATATTCATTCTGTTCACATCTTGTCCCTCACCAAAAATAAAAATACACATACAGATTTGATTTTTAACCTGTTGCATTTCATGTTTTTAGGGGCCTAAGCTTTAGGGGCCAATTCAAGCTATCTTACATGTGAAATACCAAAAACATTAAATGAATTTAGGGCTGGGATTTCCAGGTATTTACATGGCTGCATGAACTGAGGTTTCAAGTCAAGAGCTACAAAGTGGTAGAGTTTGTAACTGACATCAGGAAAGGATCTACAGGTCCTTCCTCTCATGCCTGTGGGAGCCTGATCTTTCTCTCTGATTTCTTTCCAAGAAGTAGGACTTCAGCAGAGGCTGCCTTATGTTTCCCAAAAAGCATTAAATGTAATTACTCATTTCACTTTGTCATGAATTGAGGGCAGCTGGCACTTTGAACAACCCAGCACAAGAATTAATAGCCTAACCCACAAATACTAAAGCAGCATATTCCCTGGCTCTGACACCAGGTGGCCAGTTGCATCAGCCAGCTGGAATATATCTACTCTGAAGTACTTAGGCCACAGTCTTGACATAACTTTAAATCTCCAGTAGTTGTATTGCTCTCTAAGCAGTACTGCTTCCTCTTTCAGGCTGATTCCTTTTCCACTTTTAAAAGCTTTCTATGGAGATTTGCTGCCTGGTGTTTATAAGGCTCTGTAAAACTTCACTCCTCTAAGACTTATGTGCAATGGCTTTGGGCAAGACTGCATGTTTTACAAACCAAGCAGGAAGCAAAGCTCTACTCAACTCCTCCTGATAGACAAAAACAGCGACCAAACGTCTGCCCAGTTTGAACTGGCCAATAGGTTATCAAAAGAAGAGGAAAATAAACTCAACAGTTTAAGTATGCTGCAAAGATAGAATAAGCATATTTTTCAGAAGGTAAGTTTGTTTTTTCCTGTTTATAAATCAAGTAGGCAGGGGAAGTAGTGACTAGGAAGACAAAGTAATGAAGCAGTTGAGATGACAGGTCTGAAAGCATGACTTCAGGTGCTGTCCTGGTCTCATGGAAGCAGCTGCCTTCAGCTGACCCAGGTAGGTGGATTTTGGGTGTGGAAGCAGACTGCTAGCCTCTTATTTCCCTGTGTGCTATTGGCTTCAAGTATTACTTTTAATCACAGTAGCTTCTTCAAGTGCACAAGGTGACAAGAGGTGCCAACCTTGCATTTCTTCAGTTGACTTGCGTGCTCCTGCCATTTGCTTCCCTGTGAGTTGTCATCCTACATATCACAGCATCGCTCAAAAACTTAATCAAGGCAATCATCGCATATGTAGCAGACTAACATGAATTTTATGCACATAAATAATTTGCGTTCAACAAAACAAATAGTAAACTATGAAAAAGCCCCACCGATTGTAATGGATCTTGACTAGGTTTCAAAAAAACAGGTATTTACCCTTTACACTTACAAGTGTGCTAACACATAATACAGACACACCATGATATCACATGTTCAGGGAACAAGTTTATAGCAACAGCCTTCCTTCAAGAAAGGGGTCAACAGGGAACAGAATACTGACTATTCATATCGGAGCTCAGTGAGCAAGAGGGGTTAACTTGCCTATAATAAAAAGTTGAAAATAACAAAGCAAAAGTAACTTTGCTTGATGTGCAGGCTGCAAAGTCATAAAAAAAGTTAAGTCTCAAGGGGAGAGGACACTTAATCTTCTAGCTGGTCTTCAGTGCTCTCAGACATATTTGAGAACTGGGGAATGACCAATTTTTTTTTTTTTTTTTCCTGGGCCTAATCAAGCACATGCTGAAGTCAGTAGGAAGTCATTTATTAATTTCAATGAACTCCAAATCTAACATGAAAAAAACAAGCAAACCAACCCAAACTCATGTACTAGTCACTTCAAACAAGACCCCTTTCCAGCAAGCTTTGCTCGTAAGAAAAGCCCTTCACAGGATGACCTTTCTAAAGAGCAATGGTAGGAACAGAAAGGAAATATTCAAGACTGTATTTTTTTTTTCTTCCCCAGTGTACACACATGACAAAATACATGTAACCTACACTGCTGTAAACTGGGTATTCCCAAAGTTCAGGCTTGAATTTAAGACATACAACAGAAACCTATGTAACATATGACAGAGCAGAGAGTGACAGGCCATCTCAGCCACCCTATTTCTTCACATCCTGTGGATGCTCTTAAATTTTTAAGCATGAAATACTATTCTGATACACAATGTGTCATCTGATACACCTCCAACCAATGCCCAAGCAGTTTATGTTTAATACTAACTGTTAAACTGGAGACACCGTGCCTACAAATATGCACATTTATTACACTGTAATGCAGTACAATAAATAACCCAATTACAGAGAATCAACAGAAAAGCTAAAAAAGACATATCAGTCATGAATAAACTGTACATTTCCACTGATGTTTGAATAACCCACATGGCAAAGATTTGCTGGAAACAAGCTCCAAAGAGCAATACCTTTGAGTGCCTACATGCTGCTTCTTGCTTGAAGATATACCATACTGCTCAAAAGCTACAGAAAACTCCATGAAATTCCTAGTTCAGCCAGCACATCAGTATTATTTCTACACAGAGATAATGTTTAATACCTACTTTCTAATAATGTGGCATCAGTTAAATCAAATACGTAGGCCCTATAACCTAGAGAAGAAAACAGAAAATATGCAAGGCAAGACTGTTTCTCAATGCATGTGAATAACAACCAGGACTTCTCACTTTGTCATATGTAAGTGGCTGCGGTTCAAAATAAGTTTAAGAAAGCCATATAAAGTATAAAAGAACTTAATGCTTAATGTCGGGGTTGGGGGGATTTAAGGTTCAGAACACTGATCTTACTGGAAAACATTGCATTGCACTATTGTAACTAATGACAAGGAGATCTAGCTTGTAGCTGATGTAAGAATGTGTAAAAAACATCCATCTACAAGTTTGGTGCCAAAGGCAAAGATAACTGTGTGCTGCAGGAGGTGTTTTGCAGCTTGCTTTGTGATAATCTTGGTTGCCCTTCATTCCACATTTACCCTACTGCAGGAGTCATCAACAGGTTGACAAACAAACTCTGCTTCAAACTCCATAAGGCATCTTGTGTCCCTCTTTGCAATAGCAAATTAAACAGTATACATGGGAATCAAATGTTTACCTTGCAGTAGGAGCAAAGGCATGACTTCTTTTAGGGATCAAAGTGTTCCCTAGAATCCTGTAAAGCATGTATCTGAACACATCCATCTGTGTACTTCAGCTCATTCTGTGCCCAGTGTATGCCAAATACAGCATGAAGCTGTTTTCAAAAATAGTATAAAGTCTCTTTTTAGCCTATAAAAACTCTTCCATACAGCCTGCTTTCCACTGACCTGGCCATTTCAACATTTATCAGCATCAGGACCGCAGGCTTTTCTTTCCATTCCCTTGCCTGCTATTCCAGCCTATATAGGCTATTGGTAAAATACTGAGGACAAACACGTTGTACTTCATGTGTAAGTCACATGACAAGATCAGCCAAATTTCAGCTTAGAAGGTGCTATCAAGGAAGGAATGAATGAACCTAGAAAATCTGGCTGCCTTGGACCTGGTACAGTAAGAGCCACATTGTTCCCTCAGCCACTTCTCATATGCATCCAGAAGAAGCAGGAGCCTCAGGCAGGAGCCTCCCTTCCCTCCTTGATCCTGGCCCACTCATTCTTTGTACTTTTTTCCTCCATGTCCCCCATATATCAAAAACTGTTGGGAGAGATCTGGCATACTATAGCTACAAAGAAAATACTTCTTTTTGCTGGAGAATGTAAGCATTCATTTTCATAAACACAGCAACTATTCTATCATTCAAACTGCTTAAGGTGTACCCTAGCTCTGATCAGATGCACTAAACAGAGCTCTGCTGTGGCAATAAATATATGAGCACAGCACCCAGTCAACAATATAAGTAACAAATTAATCCCTCCCAGAATTTTTCAGCAGCAGTACTTGTACATTTGCAGAGTCACTGGATAATATCAAAATGCACAGGCCAAACTCAGGGAAAGGCAGAACAGAAATCCCCGAAAAGAGCATACAACCACCTTCTATAAAAGCAGTTACTGAAGTTTATGTTGGAGTCAGGATGATGGGGAAGAAAAAAAAAAAGCCAACGAAGTAGCTAGAAGTCTAAGGAACATACAACTTAAGAGAAAGGATGTTCACTAGATTGCAAAGTTGCCAGCTTAATGTATCATCAGCAGCATAAAAGACTGGACTAAAAGAACTAAAAGTGCCACAGAAAGTTTCTGTATGATACAAGCTCTGCCAGACAAGCAAAAAAAAAAACCAAAACAGTCAGGAGTCACTGCAAAGCATGATTCAAGTATAGTGACAGGAACACTCAGAGATTTGCAAAACTACACAACATCTCTAGCCCACTTGTCAGCATCTCTGCACTGTTCCCAGTGAAAACCAAAGGCAGTAGAAGCAGACAAAGCAATGCTCTTCTACAGCCAGAAAGTTTTAACAGAAATCACACATGCAGAACAAGTAAAGGGAGAAAAACTATCAGCTCTTCCTCTGCTCTTTCTATGTCTCTACCTTCGTAAGTTGTAAGATTTTTTTGAATACTTTGATAGTGCCATTTTCTGCTGAAGTCACAACCCTTAAAGCAGGCATCCACATTTAAAGGTCTCTCTTCTGGATAAAGATGCATCTATTATGTGAAACAAGAGGAATTGCTGTAATATGCTTGGCAGATAGTGGCTAAAGCATCAGCCTAGAAACCATAATTGATTCTGAAGCAATATAATTCTGACAGAGACAGTTTAGAAACCAGCCTCCTGGCTCAGAATGCCTACTCAGATTTGGTATTGTTGCAATCAGTAATACTTAGACATGAATTACATTTAGTTATTTCTCTCAAGAGTGTATTTTTAAACTGACCTTGGTAGGTAAGTGAAAGTAATGAAGTTAAGTGCTCCCAAGAATAGCATAAAATCATTCATTAAGGACATAAGGTACTACAGTCCATGTTAAAGCACTGCCATTAATATGAACAGAAGCATTTAATAATACATTTTGTATTAGATTCATATCCATCAGACTGGAACATCTCCTATATTGGCATGAAATACCAATGGAATATTGATATTGCCTAGCAGCTGTCTCATCTCACAGTGTAAGGATCAGAAATTAATAAAAATTAACAGAAACATTCAGTTTTTCAATAATGTAAAACAAATATTCTTTAGTAAGACACCCCCTCCATACACTCATGTTATTTCTACAGTCTTTGATTCTACAGAATGGAAGACAAAACAAAGGCTATTTTCAAAATATTCCCCACTATCTTAGCAAGGCAGAGACTATATATCTTCTTTATACAGTCAAAGTTCAATAATAATCAAGGAAGCATCTCATTTTTGTGATCTGGGCACAGAAGTAAACACATTTTGAAGAAGTTCATCTATGAAGAAAACAGTATCAAAAAATAGTTGTCGAATAGAAATAAACTTTAACTGGTTAATATTTTAAGACAAATAACATTACTATGCTAAGAAAATTAATAAACCTATTGGCTACTTAACTACTTCCACCACTAGAGGGAGGTCATATTCCTTCACAAAGGCAAGGAAAAAAGACAGAGTTAAAATGTTCAAGCCAGGTATATTTTAAATTATGAGAAAGCAACTGAGATGTGTAACTAAAGATTTATTTTGTCTAGTCAACAAAGAATGCTTGTTCCTAAACTTTGGCCACACACCTTCACAGACACATGGAACTCGTTACATTTGTTGTCTTCGTTAAGTATATGAGCAGGTCTACAGGAAAGCTAAAAGCATCAGATGCCAAAGCTATTACATTATAGCACTACTTCATATTCTGGCTTCTTAGGGGGAAAGGATGCCCTGCTTCACTAGCCAGAACATTAGTAATTTGAAATCCTTCCACTTCCTGCTTTACCATTTTTAACATTTTGCTACACTTCACCCAAAAACCCCCAAGTTCCTAATGTAATAATAGCATAGGATTGTCTTTATCATCTAATATAACACCTCTTGGATAACATGTGAAACAGGAGTTAATGCTAAAGGATTTTTACATCCCAGCTATAATGTTCCAGCAAATAACCACAGAACTCAGATGAAGCAGCTTTCCTTACTTGCAGGTCTGCAGGGCTGGCATCAACCCCTTACGCAGAAAGGGAAACGTGTGGTGCTGCCATCATTCCGATTACACTGATGCCGCCAGTACTGTCCTGACACTGGTAATAAGCTAAGTTCAAAGCAGCAGATGTTATTGATCAGTTAGTCACCAAAAGGTCCTTTTACTTACTTTCCTCAAGGCATCTTAATTCTCCCAGAGATTACTATTTTGAACTGCAAATTCAGCTGTATGTCTGAGTCCAAAGGACAATCCCCTCCCAACCTGCACTCTACAAAAAAAAATAGTTATGTTTTGTGGTTCATTCAGCAGTTACTGAAAATCTTTACCGATATAATGCAAAATCCTCTTCTGTGAAGATGTCTTGAATTTTGTCCCCAAAGTACCTGAAAAATTAAACAAGAGTCTAAAAGAGGAGCTGCTGAATCAGACTGCCTGTGTAATACCAAGACGCATTCTCACTCCCATCTGCTTTACCCACAATCAATAAATGAAAACACAACACAAAAAAAGCCCTCCAAATGCTTTTAAGCGTGATGTTTCCAAAGCACTGCTCAAAGATCAAATGTTAAAGATTAAAGCATCAAGATGCAACAACTGATAATGAAATTTCCCAGGCATGAAAAAAATCCCCTCCCATATCATGAAATAAGCACATTGATTCAAATTCTTTAAGAAGTTCAGACTGCCTGATTTCTTCCACTGCTGACAAACTAGACTAAGTGTGAAAAAATACTATTATTTACTGGTGCAAGAACAACTCTGGAAAGAAAGGTAATGGTAGCTTTCAAAGAGCCCAGTTCATCAAGAGATTGGTTTTCATGCCACGAAAGTTTTTTAACTGGTCATAGAAGCTATGGTAAATCTAATATTTCTACAGTTTGTCATTACTAACCCCAGCCCACAGGGCTTGAGAAATCTGAAAAGGCACCGAGCACTTAAGGTGTAGCATAATAAGAGGCAGCAAGCCACAGCCCCATTTTACCTGTACAGATTAACAAAATGCTTCCCCAGTGAAAGAGCTCCAGAGTGCAAGTCCAAAATTGATGCCTGGGAAAGGAAACAAAAAAGTAGGAAAAAAAGCATGAAAAGGTTTTATCGTTATTTAACTATGACCTTTAATAACTGTCCCAAGTTGGCTCTTCACTTTCCACAGCCTCCCAAGTAAAAATATTAGTTTCTAGCATTTGAGTTCACAATACTAATGCTTACTTTACAACTACAAACCTCCCGCAGTTTGCTGTATAGATGCACAAAAGATTAAGGTATATGAATAAAGCCCAGGACTGCTATTCCTGAGATTCAAATCTGACATACAGACTTGCCAGTCTTCCTCCATGGGCTAGGGGTAAGACACGGTGTTCTTGGATCCCTTCTTGAAGACATTTCCCTTCCACACAAAGATGACTAATTTTCCAATATTTGTGAAGCGCTCAAATAGCAGCACTAATATTTATCTTGCCCAACATTTGTTACTAAAACTTCTCCTTCACCATGAGTTCCTGTACACTTCTCATATTTAATACGGCCATAAAAGTCTGTTTAAAAGAACAATTATAATTCTAAGGTTTACTAGAGCCAAACTTTCTTTTCCCCATTTTCTAAACCACTGTAAAAGAAAAACGAGTGAAAGGTTTCTACATATGAAAATTCAATCCATTTCTTCATCCAATTCAAGCCAAACACTTCTGCTGAGCTCCAGACCAGGCTAAAAAGATTAGTATTCAGATTTGCCAGGATAGAGTGCTACCTCTCAGGACTCTAAATTATTTCTCTAAATTGAATAAAGTACACTTTTGTATGTCCCTTGCTGTCCACAAAATACATGTTTGTTTTAAATCAGTTAAACAGTATTTAAAAATATGACTTCTTAATAGCAGTCTCTTTTTTTTTTATACTGGAAATATCAAGTAGCAACAGTTAATTAACCCGACCGGCACCGAAGTAATGACATCTTTGATATACAATATCCGGGCAAAAGCACTCATCTTGGAATTTGGCATTTCTTGATGCACCACATACCATTCACATTATTCTAACAAAATCCAAACAATAATAATAATACCACTAGGTAAGCTGCCTGGAAAGAATGATAACCTCCATCTTACCCGCAACAAGAATTTCTGGGTATGGTTGGAACAGTACTGTGTGAAGCCACCTTGTATCTCTCCCCCCACAGACAGGCTGGTGAACGAGCAGCAGCAAATCATCAGCACATAGACATGTGAGAGCTGCAATGCCAGGACAGCAATACAGTTTCACGTTCACCCCTAGTCTCAAAGCACTTTTCTCCTTCCTCCTCTGGATCGCATTGGAGGAAGACACCCATGACAATCTCTCAGCAAAAGAAAATTGCTGCAGGCTCAATTGCTCTGAGCTTCAGAGCTGAATCAGGGAAACTCCACTAAAGTCTCCTTTTAAGAGACAGAAACAACCTTCTTTTAACAAACCTACCCAAATCATTTTATTTACCCCTGAACAAAGCCTTAAAAATATATAAAGTAACGAGCTATTCAAGTGGACATAGCATGAGCTTTTCAGACCTCCCCTTTCCACAGAAGTTCTCCAAAAACTTCAGAGGACTGTTACAGAAACAAGTAATCTCACACTCATGCAAGAGCAGCTCTCCTAATAATCTTTACTCAAGCTTCAGAAGCAAAATATTTTCATTTTTTTGTTTCTGGTTCTGTACAATGACCTAAGCTAGAGCTAGAAGAAGTAAAACCGCTCCCATGTAGCTTCAAAAATATGCTTGTGATCATGCTAAAGTAGACTATAAGAAGTAGCAGCACACATCTGAAAAGATTAATTTAATTTAAAAACAAATTGCCTTTCAAAGACTTTCAACATGCTTTCCAAACATACACATTTCTTTTCACTGTTCAAGCACCAGATGACTACACTTGGGAAGACCCAAAATGACCAAATGAATCAATAGAAGATACCCCCAAGAACTGTAGGTAGTCATAGCTGAAAAGATAATAGCTACAATATAAAGCTTAGAAAAGCCAGATGAAGACTGAAAAGGGAATATGAAAAAGAAAGAATGTTCTTCAGGGTTGTTTCAGACAGAGGAAAACAACTTAACGCCAAACATAGACAGGGACTTGATCACACATGAGCACAGAGCTATTTGTATAACAGCTACCTTGGAAAGAAACTGAAACACATTTATTTTGGCCTCTGCCATTTCAGAGCATTACATATTTTCAGCATCATTTCCTACGCTAAGAAGAATACCTTGGTGGAAGCCTGTGTCAACACCGTTACTTCAAGTTCAGCTATCTGATCAAGGGTCAGCCTGCCTTTCAGGTCAGCGTTCCAAGGCTGAAAGCTCTACAAAGTTTATCTAAAGACGGCAGGAACACTGCAAACACACATAACCACACACCTATTTCTGAGAGACTGTTCAACAGAACTACCCCAATATCCTGGTTTACAGAACTTCTATAAAGAGGAAATTGAACTTCCTTAAAAAAAAAAAAAAAGCAAAAATGTGTTCTTTTGGACCTTCAGTATTTAGTCCCACATTCTCCACTCTCTCACCGCTAAAAGGATTCAAAGAACATGCAAGTAACCACCACTTCTCAGCACATGGCAAAAAGGATCAATTTCCCCATCTTGCAAAGCAAAGGCCCTGCCTTTGATCCTCACTAAAAGGGACTGCCAACCATTAAATATACATTCACTTCTACAGCAATTCCACCTTCTTCCTCCACCCCTTAAAAAGTTAAGTGAGATTTTTAAAGAAAAAGCAGACATGCTGCCCAAGAGAGAAGAATACAAAACTTATTTCTACTTGTCTACAGAGAGGGTGGTAGAGCTCAAAAAATCTTCCCCACTTCTCCTGTGGGAACACTCACATGCTTGAGCTGAGAAGAGGGAAGAACAACGCAGGTTCTACATAGCCACTGATTCCTGGGCAGCATCAAACTGGCTGTCACTGCAGGCAGTCTTATACAGAATCTGAATTAAGAGACACAAGTGTAACCCATCTAATCTATATATCACTCAGCTGGAGTCACCGGTTATTACTGTGGAAGTACAATATTTGGCTATGGTGTCCAGTACAAGTTTACAGTAGATATAGATTAGACACAACCAGTTCCTCTCCAGCTTCCTAGAGTTAAGTCCAGATAATCACACCAACACACAGCTGTAAGTAAAGTGAAAGACACACTGCCAGGTATGTCTTTCAGTCCTCACAAGTATGTTTCCTATGTGCTATCAGGAGGCTAATTATGAAGGAAGAAACCTATGCAGCCTGTAGTAGAGGTAGGAGATAGGACAAGTATTATGCAGAGGCTTTATCTTCTCCCTGGAAAACACAGAGCTCACAGCATTTTGAGGACTTCAGGGCTTGGTTGAGAGGGCTGAAAGCAGAACAAGGAGGGATATGGCCTGCAGAACCACTGTTCTATGCATGGGTTAGTGGGCCCATGTCAGAAACCCTTGTTTAGCATCACAGCTACACAGGTTGTTTGCTGCTCCCAGTGATTAAGAAATTTAATTTTCTCCTGCAAAAGGGAGGTCTAGGTGGCTACTCCTGCCAGTTTTGCTGCCACACAGGAAACAGACTGCAGCTGACTGGCTGCACCAAGGGATTTCTTTTCTGGGGCTTTTAAATAAATGCCAATAGATCCAATACTAAATGAGTCGTTTCATTTACACTAGAGAGATGTTATGACAGCAGCACCTACAAAGACGTGAATGAATGAGTCATGACTAAAGTGGTAACGCAAGCAGGGGTAGCATGCAAGAAAATATTAGGTAGGGAAGAAAGGGAAATGACATTATCTTTAGAAAGAAGAAAAATCCTAAGCTGAGGCAAACATCAAGAGAACTAATGCAATTCACATTCTGTGAATAAGAAACAGAGTATAAAACTATTTTACAGAGATAGAGATGTACAAGGGAAAGCAGCGTACTGGTGGAGAAGATGCTCCTGTTTGGACTCTGTTGAAAGTTAGACTAGAAGATTACAGTGGCCTCTTCTAGGCTCACTCTGTGTGTGTGCATAAATAAAAATAAATCTTCGAAAAGTTACAAAGGAAGATAAGAAAGAAAGCTCAGCATGACAACTGGGGCATGACTCCTGGGAGATTTCAATAATTCAGATGTTTGCCAGGACTTTCTCAGCACAAAAGGATGGAAAGGGAAACAAGTTTTTGTGCTATACTTCAGTCCTCCAAGGAAGCAGAAAGGGCAGCAAACAAAGGGAACAGACAATTGACAGAGTCAAGATGCAAGTTTAGGTCTTTAAATTATTAAGTTATATCCTGACACATAGACACAAATCCACTTCTGTGAATTCAAAATATAAGAAGTATGACAGACAAAAAAAAGAATCAGATATGTTGCTTAAAAAGGGGTTGGGAAGAAATCAGAGAGAATGAAAATGCAGTCTGCATCCCAGCAGAAATATGAAGAAGTTTTATTTGGAATAGCAGAAAGACCAAAGTGGCTAGAAAAGAATTAAAAAGAATTAAACAGAAACAGGAAGTTATTTAAGGAATTTTTAAGGAAAAAAAATAGTCTTATAACAACAGACATAATCGGACAGAATTATCCAAACACTTTAAAGCCTAAGAAATTTAAAGCAACAAGCCAGACCTAATCCAACAGGCTTAAAGCTTGAGGGGCATACAGGAAAAGTAGCTAGATGAAGACAGACTTGAAACATTTTGTACGCTTCTAAATAAGAGATTTGAAAAGAGGATAAAAGGCTCAGATGAAGAAAGACGGTTTCATCTATACATCATCACCACACATCCCAACAGTATTTAATGATATCTGGGAGCCAAGATAGCACTGTTGGGAAAAGATTCACTCCGTGACACGGAGAGTACAAGCATGCTCGTTGAAAAAAAGAGGAAACCAGCAGAACAGGGGAGAAAGAGGCATAAAAGAAACTAGGTAAAGAGACTGTATTTAAAGGCTTCTCCTAAACATGATCTCCCAGAAACACTGGTCAGCTTTTTTTTTTTTTTTTTTAGCATCTTTCAGTGTTTATTTTGGATAAGGCCTCAAGCAATACTACACAACTTTCTTCTTGCACCTTTCCCTTAGGAGTAACAACATGCCATAACTTTCTCACATTTACAAATTATGAGAAATGTGAGATGGCTTGGAACACAGCCCAGAATTCTCAATGGATATCAGATTTAACAGACTTATTTTATTGCAGCAATAGAATCTTCTTTTCCCCCTCAATTTCCCTCCACTTTAAAATAAAACCTCACAGTGATGCTTCCAAAATGATGTAGATGATGGATTTATATTTGCCTGATACTCTGCCTTGTCCAAGTAAGCCAGCTCAGGACCCCTGCCCAGCTCTGTGCATTGGGCAGCAAGTTCACTGCCCCTCATGTCTCTTCCAAGCTTTCTCTGTCTCTGTTTCCCCAGTTCCCTGACCCCCAGCTGGACATTAGCTTTCTGTGGTCCAAATCCATGAATGTGTCTGTGTTATGCACTGCCCTTCTAATCCCTCTTTGTGGAAGTCTAATGAAAAATCACACGTAGGTGCCAAAAGAACAGGATAGGAAACCCACTTGACAGCACTAATGACAGGAATTAAGCCATAGGTCCCAACAAGCAGAGTAATCTAGGGCAAAGTGGCAAATTATGCAACTGCAGAACTGAAAAAAATCCAAGGGATCCTGACAGAACTGAACAGAGAATGTTAAATCTTTTAAATATATTGTTTCAGATGGGCAGCACCGCTGAAGTTTCTCAGGTTACATTTTTTGCATTTCTTTCTCAGCAATCACAAGGACAATAAAGTCTTATTTTTTCATTGAAACCTTTCTCCTTTTCTGCTAATATATGCCCCAATTCAGCAGAGGCCTAAAAAAGTGGTTGTGTTTACAAATACTCAAGAAACAGTTTCTGTTCATACACAAAAACATCCTGAGAACAAAGACAGGGGAAGAAATTAAAATAAACATGCTTGTTAAAGAAAAGTTGTTTTGTTTTCATTTTTAAAGATTACTCAAAGTTCTACTTAAGACATTACATGGCATTTTTTGTCACTACACAAACCCAGTCTTTACATGATGCTGTGAACCACTGTAATTTAGTTTCAGAAGTCAAATTTGTACAGTTCTGCTATAGTAACTGTTTCCAAATGGAAAAGACAAAATCAGTTCGAGAGAGGCACTAGAAATAACTAAACAGAATAATAGGAAATATATCAACTGTATTGCATAAGTCACAAATTATACTGCTAGCAGAAGTATTAAATGGGAGATAAAATAACTTTCCAAACAAGTTTTTTTCCAAATCTGAATAGAAGGAAAAATTCTCCATCTCCTCTTGCCCCAAAAATGCATTTATAATCTTGCCTTGGCAGTAAAAGGATATAAAAAGTAACAGGACACTGCTCACCCCTCCATCAGATCCTCCCAAGGACAGTCCCCTCTCTGCTATTCTGCAGGCAAAACAATAACCTCGATGAGAACTGAAGTCTGTTACTTTGTCCTTTAATGTCATTAGTTACAACATGTAACACTTCAGTAAGTGTTATTTGATGCATCAGATATAACCCGAGTGATTTAAGAGAAGCTGCCATTTAGTTGAAACAATCTTGCAGCCTGTCATGAAAATAAGTATCTGTGTTGGAAGAACATTTCTGAGCTTGTAGCCCCCTTCCATAAATCCCCAGAACACTCCTGAAAAACAGTCTTTCAAATACATTCTGACCAAGTAAGATTAAACATAAAAACACCCCAAATCTTGATTTTTAGGGGCAGTATAAATAAGCCTGTACAATGCAGAAACGCTGTATCAAAATCAGGAGCCCAACTGAATTTGAAGTCAAAGGCTGGCCCACCCAACTAGAGAACAAAGCACTTAGACGAGCTGCATATTGCTTCAAGCGTTACACTGATATTCCCCACTTACATGATTATCAAGTGCAAATCACACTCAAGAGGCTGATAACTTTTCTAACTGCATAATTTGACAGTGTCCCCTACTATTTGATTAAAACTCACCACTTAGAGTTCAGAGGACTATAGGGTCAGCACTAACTCATAATCACCCAGAAAGAGACTCAACTGAAAAGAGGCTTATGTTGTTTTATTTTTAAAGGCCAAATGGAACAGAAGGCCAAGTGAAAATCCTTTAAAACTTTAATTCATTTTCCTTTTTTCTCTCTACAACACTCATGCCCCACAGAGCTAGGCAGACTCTGTATGAAAGAGAACTACCTCCACTACAGGAAAAACAGAAAATGGCTTTTTAAAAGAAAGTTTAGTGTTTTAACCAGTTTAACCCATCCTCCTTCAGCCAATAAGCTTTGTGCTACACCTTAAACACTAGCACACTGTCATTAAAGCAAGTGCTCATAAAAGTTAAGAGGTAAGAGAAAAATTACCTACGGATTCTTTCAGCTTCTTCCCTTGTGATTACCGCATCAGTCACACCTCTTCCACACTTTCTAGGAGTGCACCCTGGAACACAAAAGAGAAAAGAAAAAAGAAAAGATCGTCTTTCAAACAAGGCTCAAAACAAACCTCTATTAATATCCTCCTACTCCACCTTTCAGATTACAACATTCAGAAGGGATATTGGCGATCTCAGAATATTTTAGAGCACTTAAACTAAAGAAAGTTCCATCTCCATTTTGACATGGTTTGCACCACAATCATCACAGAGTTGCTCCTGCACACGTTCAAGTCCCCAGGACTCATCTAAGCTACACCACTTTCCCTGCTATTGTTATCCAAAAATTGATGTTGCTATAGATGTCCGTTGTAGAGTCCTGCCCTAACTTTTCTTTGTTTAATTAATAAGTTGCTAAAGCAACCCTAGCCAAGTAGGTAAAATATGGTTTTGTGGACAGTTAACAAATTGTTCAAAAGAAAGAACAGAGTGATATATTACTGCTCTCATCAGTAAACCATGAATGAGTATTATTACTAGAAAAATTTGCCTTGGCAGAGAATAAAGAGGAGAAAGGTAATTCCAGCAGTGGGGAGAACACGACCACCAACTCAATTGAAAGTGGAGAAGAATAACCCACACACACTGTCTAGGCATGTGTAGTGAATTAAAAATCAAGCTGTATCTTTAAATCAAAGCGAGGAAATTAAAAACCAATAAGAAATAGGTTTTTAGCTAGCTAAATGATTGTGTATTACATAGGTGTGGTTTGATGGTACTTTGTGAGCTTACCACCTAGCACCCATCTTGGCACAAAAATGCAATAAACAGTATGTCGTCTCAGTGTGTGAAGATTGGCTTATTGCACACCAGGTAAACAAGCCCTATTTGGGACAACACTATGGCTGTTTGGTGTGATTCAAGGGGAATGACACCAACTCAACTGACAAGCTATTTCCTGCTATGTCCATAATGCAATTCAACAGAATGGAGATGATCTAAAAGGAATGAATCTCAACACCCAAAGTAGCACAGCCACTGGAGATGTGGCTGTCATGCACGACCCAGAGCCTCCAGTGCTTAGGTTAAGCAAAACGCACAGCAATACTGTGCCTTTAAAAGCAAACTACTTTTCCTGCTGATCTGAAAATAATTCTTAGAAACCTTAAGTTTGTTACAAGTCTTTACAAGTTTGTTACAAACTTTGGGATTAAAATTGACTTACGGATGTTCTTTTGCATATCTACTGCTTCAAGCTAGAGAAGATAGCCTTTGTTTAGTAAGGCCGTTATCAGACACATCTGTATCTCAATGTACATGCAGCAAGACAGATCCAGTGATTTTTCCCCTTCTTCCCAAGTGCAGTAGTGAAAACAAACGTTCCTGTTTACGAAACTGGTCTCTGGAAGGAAGATGATCTTAGATGATTTCATCTTACACACTCTGTTCTAGCCTTCGGACAGGCAGGACAAGAACTGGAAAGCTCAGCAGTGCCACATGGACCCTTCCATCTCAGGCTGACAGTTCCAGTATCAGCCAAGATCTCTAGCAACTAAACCCCCTTAATATCACATGTCCATGTACAAAACGTTTTCTATTACAGTCCAGTTAAGTCTTCAACTCAGACAAAGGTCCAGTATGCACCACTCTTAGGTACAATACATAACACGAGAAGAGTTCTGTCCCAAAATTAAACAGCCTCAACAGGATAAAGAAACTCAATTGTCCCAGAGAAAAATGAGATGCAGAAGACAAGACATACTTGGATGCAGACTGCAGTGGATGTAACACCAGAGCACCACCATGCTAATAACAGAAAAGAGAGAATGCCACTCAGACAGGAGTGAAATCACTACTTGACAGAAGAAAAACTGAAAAAAAATTGGTTAGACTACAAACAGTTCAAGCCATGAAGAAGATACTACTAGTATCTTCTAACAAGGGTTGCTGAATAGGTATAGGATCTTTATGTAGTATCAATACATGCTAGTTCATGTATTAACACAAAGAACTGCATTTAACTTATGTTTCGGTATTCAACCCTAAATCATGCAGTTTATTAACAGAGATTCCTGTAGTCAAGCACTGAGAACCACTGTATTTGTCCACTGGAAGTCACTGGAGAAGAAATGGTAACGCAAAAAAGCAGTGAATTTGACATTCCAACTGTACTGCCAGGAGAATAAGAGCAGCATATTTCAGATTTGCTCAACCCCCTCTCCTGCCAAACATGAGTCAAAAGGAAGCAAGTAACATTCTGTATGGGGTGTCTATACAAATGTAACTTGAAGGGCAGCTTTTTATATGAGCTTTTGCACAAAAGTGTCTTGAAGCACACAGCTTGGACATACATGATAAAAAAGTTTCCTAAAATTCATTGCTAAGAAAACTAACATTTCATTTGAAAAGCTCATGGAAAAAAGCCAGCAGTAAGAGTTCCAGGTGAAGAATATATGTAAGTTCTTATGAAACTGGTCCACAACAGTCTTCAGGCAAGAAGAAGAAATAAGATCAATTCTAAGCCACAAGGGAGACCTAGGGATGTCGCACCTGGCACTTTACTGGGGAAGATCCATATATATATATATATGTGTGTGTGTGTAAAGCACAGAAAAGTTGGGATGAGTGTCATTTCTGACATCTGCCAATACACATACTGTTGCTGAACTGAGCTCCCCTTCAAGGATTATTTGCTCATCAGAACATGGGGCAGCAGCGGGGGTGACACGACTCCTGGAAATCAATCTATCAATTCACCCATGCAAGTCAAAAGCATCAGTCTGCTCTGATCAAGAGCAAGTAATGATAACAATGACCACAGACTGAGAGAAAGAGAAATTTTGCCACAGCACGAGTGCTTTGTAGGAATTTCCATTCCATCTTGCTGGATATACCCTGACAGAGCCCCCTAATTACACCAGTGTTTCAAGAAAAGAGAAGCAATGAGAAGGAGATGTGTGGGTGAATAGGCTGAGTCCTGACAACAACATACCAAATTCTACACACTGTTTTCTTGCCTGGGAAAAGAAAAATCCCTTGTTTGACCTATGTTTAAATTGAAGTCAAAGACACCCACACCAAGCAGACTATTTAAAAGCAGATCAAGGTCAGGAAATCAACTGGATTACAACCCAGATAATTTATTGCATTTTCTGACTACCCAGCAATACTTCACTGAAGTCAGCCCAAGATTCACATTCCAGGAAGTGCACACTAATTTTTTTTTTTTATTTCAAGTTGACCTAGGAAACTAGCAGCCTAAAATAATGCTAGAGATTACATTCTTAAGCATCCATTTATCAATGCCAGCACAGAACCCAGCAGTGTGACAAGAATGAACCCGAACCACTGCTCCTCCAGCTCACTTTTCTCCTTTTCACCCTATGAGGTCAGAGAAATGAGCAGAATCAAAACACACCGTTCATCAGAAACCATAGTGCCTATCAAGGCAAAAAAAGCACCATAAAAACTAAAAATTCTGGCAGCAACCCAAAGGTGCTTTGCATATTAAAGAACAACACTTTGCAACACAGTACCAGCCTCAAAGGTAGAGAATTCAAACAAAAACAAACCCACAAGGGCTTTACAGGTGGAAAGTTGTTCTAAGTTACAAATTTGGGAGGGGAGGGAGTGGAGAGAAGGGGGAGCTTCTGTGCCATGTTTCAGGCACATTGTAAATATCCCCTCCACAACCAGAAAGGCTATGCACAGTTTTTGTGGGAATTCTTGCATTTTTCAGTCTCAATTCCAGGAACCAACAATTTGCAAGTTAAGCACCACAGATCTTACAATAAAAACGCAAGCATTGGAAACGCTATATTCCTTTGGAGCATTTGACCTAGCGGTTCTGAAAAGCAACAAGTAATAACCAGCAAACACTGCAAACTGTTTCTTGTCTGCCCTAACAAAAACATATACATTTTATGTTGCTGTGCCTTAAAGGCTCCATCATACATTCAGCAGTGGCAGATTAAAATCAGTTATTCATTTCTGAATGCCAGGCTGAAGAGCATCTCAGAAGCCAGTTGACAGGAACGAGACATCTCTGCCTCTAGGCTAGCAAACGCTCACCCAAAGAATGAGACAGATGGCTGAGGCAGTAACAGTTTCCAGCACCCAATTTTAAACTCAGATACATGGGGGGGGGGGAACCCACACCAAAAAAACCACACAGCCAAAGGGGAACCAATTTGGGTTCCCAGAACTGAAAACACCTTACCAAACATTTTGTTAGTAACCATAAGATCCACTCAAAGATTTACAGAACAATAATAATCAATCACAAATCACATAACATATACTCCACACTGTACCCAACATTCTGTTGGGTATAAAGATGCCAACAAGTTTGGATATTGGCAGTACACTTTTTTTGGTAGGCCTGTTAAAAAAAAAAAGATTAGAAAAGGCTGAGGTAACAGGCTGAGAGAAAAATGAGATTTTGAGGAGTTCAGAGAAAGCTGAACACATAAAAACAAGGAAGCTCTCTTGACTAAGAGAGACAAGAAAAGGGGAATGACTTTCCTTCTACCATTGAAAAAGGTCTCTTTAGTGCTTGAAAGGCAAAGAAAATTGTCTTAGAGATGAGGGAAAGCTGATGTTCAAGGAGAGAAGAGGTGGGAAAGAATAAATTCGGAGGAGAATTTCAATACTCCAGGACAAACCTGTCTAAATAGGGTTTTCTTTGTACGACATTCTGCAAAAAGGATGCTAGCAAAAACTTCTGATTTCAGAAGAGATTTGTGCTCTCTATTTCCAGCTGCAAACAACAGCACAGATGTTACCCTTTTGGAAAGGTTGGTACTGGAGAGTCCAGATTTGGCAAAACTACAGCATTATCTCTGACAATTGTTATGTGTCTAGGGTCTCTGACAAAGAACTGGCAAAGACTGCACTGGAAGCAGGAGGTGTTCTGAAGGCAAGAGCAGAAGCTTTTCCAAACTGAGAAGAAAAACAAGAAAAAGATAGTCCAGCATAAAGTCAGTCAGGTACCAACAGTAAGGCACAAACACTGAATGAATGCTAAGGAAAAATCAGAATAGCCTGTTTGAAAACAATTTTAGTATTAAGAAATGTGTCGTCTTTGTCTAAGAGACCATGGTACATGGGAGCACTGAAGTGATAAAAGCATACTTGGAGAATCTGCACTGAAGAGAAATTCAGTTTAGTATTACAAAGTACTCTTTCCATAAATTTGTACCTAGTAGGCACAAAATCATTCACTTAGGTCTAATAAAGCACTCTGCTTTGGATCCAAGAGTTTTTTTCAACCAAGGTAAAGGAGGAGCATACCAAAGCATGAAAAACCACAAGTACTGCCTATGGTCCCTGTTCCTATTCAGCACACAGAAAACAGAATGTAACACAGGGGTCTAAGTGCCTAAACTGCAGCTTTGTCTTCTACTTAACGTGGTACTTGCCCAAGCACCATACGCTGCCGAGACCAGGATGATTCACATGAGGAAAAAAAAAGGCCCATCATGATGGTCCCCTAATGTAATCCATCTCAAAGCAGGACAAGAGGTGGCAAAGATTTATTGGATACCATCCCCATAACCACATGTCCTGGTGTCAGCTGGGATAGAGTTAATTTTCTTCCTAGTAGCTGGCATAGTGCTGTGGTTTGGATTTAGTAGGAGAATAATGCTGATAACACACTGATGTTTAGTTGTTGCTGAGTACTGCTTATGCTAGTCAAGGACTTTTCATCTTCCCATGCTCTGCCAGGCGCACAAGAAACTGGGAGGGGGCACAGCTGGGACAGTTGATCCAAACTGCCCAAAGGGCTATTCCATACCATGTGACATCATGCTCAGTATAGAAACTGAGAGGAGTTGGCCAGGGAGCAGCGATCGCTCTGATCCTCTCCCCCATACTTTCAGGGTAGGGGGAGGGAGTGAGCGAGCAGCTGCATGGTGCTTAGTTGCTGGCTGGGGCTAAACCACAACACCACACTAGCAGTCTAGGTGCTAGACCTTTTCCTCCACTGCTCACTGACTTCTCCGCTTTCCACATCCACTGATCTAGTCTCTGGAAAAGCATCTTAAAGCTCTCTCCTGGGCAGCGGTCATGGATGCTTTGTACACTGACACAATATGTCAACACACATAAGAGACTACACAGGAGTTTCATCAGACACCCTAGTACCCACAGTAGTTTTAAGTAGTTAACCGTGTCTCAAGACAGCAGAAATAGCCAAGGTCTGGCTGCAAGGTTCAGAATGCAGATGAGACTGTACTCACAGGACACCCTATCTTCTGCAAATATAATAAGTGCTTGGCCTCTGAAAAATAACACATTTTATTTCTGTATGAAGCAGGTTTACTGGCAGGAAGTGCTATGGAAATAAAACCACTGCTCTGTGACACCAACTACCATATCACTTGAAGCAAACTAGAAGCTCAGTTGCACTAGTCCAGTTTGAAGCAGGGACAGGTGCATAAATAAAAAGCTCATCTTAGCAGTGGAAACTTTACGGCTGAGCATCAGACATCAAGTGATGATAGGAATGTGCCTCATTCTGACACAAAGCCAGCAGCTGTGGACATCAAGCCAGAATAAAGACAGAGAATGAAAAGCTATTGAGTGATAGAAAGCTATTTCCAATAAAGTAACTAAAGCTCTGGAGCTGAATCCAGTTTGGCAGAAAACCATAATCCACATTTACTGCCTCGCTAAGCTATCAGTAACACACGTGGAGCAAGGAGCCAGCTTCGACGGGACAGCAAGGCTCAGCGGCTCACCACCACCCTCTTGCGGGCACCGAGCAGGAGACAAGAGTTAAAAAACGAGCAAAGTTCATTATCACAGCACGGCTTCAATTAACCACTTAACAGATGTTCACACATTTCTAATACCACCGATCTCCTTCTGAAAGCATAATACAGGGGAACACATGTAAAAACATCTGCTAAAAACCCAAAATCCATCACATAAGTTAAGAAGCAGCTGCAAGCAAACATCTAATTAGAAAGCCAGAATACAAACTCACACAAGATGACTCCCCTTTGTTCCTTCTGGGTTGATGCCAGCCACGTCAATCATTCTCACACAAAGCCAAGAGAGGTCCCACTTCACCCTGCAGTTAGCATTTGCAGAGCTTGCTCCCCGCAGCATCACAAGAATAGGGAACACATTCGTTCCTCTTCCTGGGCAGAGATACCCTCGAAGTTCGTTATGATAGAAAGAATAACTGAGGGGGTTGCCAAGACCAGAAGCCCATAGCTCAAAAAATTCCTTTTGCAAACCAGGGAAGGGAAAAAAGTTTTTGTTGGGTTGGGGGCGGGGTGGTTCTTTTGATAAGCAAAAGCCCTAGTAGCAGAACACACACAGTTGTAGCCTTAGTTCAGTCATAACTACCAAATCTGTGGCAACACTGGCTGCAGAGTTTTCTCTGGCCTTGGCACTACGCAAATAAAGCCAGAAGCAGTTTCTCCTTGTAGTAACTACAGAAAGTTAAAACATAACATATGTTTTCACGTGCTCAGTCAAAAAATCCCCCTACTAAGGAAGTTCTCTTGCTGGTAGCTTCCTGACAGCAGTTTTCTTCATTTCAGTAACATTTGGGATGAATCCTTCAAAACCCTATCAAAGAAGATGCTACAACAGCAGCACTGAGGCAAAACTAGCTGACCACAGACTACACAAACATTTGGTTTATGTTACAAGCCTTCTGACCAACACCACCAGGACCAGCCACCTGAAGAGGGCAAGAGAAATTACCTCCACATCTTTGGGGCGCCACATCCAGGCTGCAGTTTAATGAACACTTTCTACCAGAACTCGCACTGGAAGAAAGTCAGAAATCATGGAATCACAGAACAGCCCAGGCTGGATCAAAAGATCACCCGGTCCAGACTTTCATGGGAAAGGGAGCCTAGATAAGATTATCTAATACCCTGTCCAATTGCGTCGTGAAAACCTCCAGTCATAGGGGCTCTACTACATCCCTGGGGAGGTTGTTCCAGTGATTGACTGTTCTCTCTGTAAAAAATTTCTTTCTTATATCAAGATTAAACCTTGCCTAGTGAAACTTGTGCCCATTGCCCCTCCTCTTCTCCATGTGACTCCTTGTGAAGGAAGAGCCTCCATCCTCTTTGTAGCTGCCCTTTAAGTACTAGAATACTGTGATGTGGTCCCCCCAAGCCTTCACTTCTCCAGAAGAGACTTAACTCTTTCAGTCTTTCCTCATAAGGCAGGTTCTCCAGCCCTTCGATCACCTTTGCTCTTCCTCAGCTCCAAGCAGCTTTTTCCAGCCTCCACACTGCCTCCAGCTTTGCGTCAGCAAGTGTTTTGTCAGCTACATAACAAACCAGGTAAGACAACTGGTTTGGCTAAAAACTAACTCAGAATTTTTTTTTTTTTTTTTTAGATACAATAGCTTATCAGTCAACACACAGCTAAACATACAGATCAGCTGGCAAAAAGCTAGAGCAGAGCTGTTCTCTGGCAGCAGTACCAGCTCAAAATGTTCGAGATACACTTTGCAAATCTGAAAAAGAACATCATCATAGCTTATCCATGCGAACTGCAATTTTCTCACTGCTCTTCATCAGAGAAGACGAAAGGCTTCCACTTCTCTATAAAATCCAACATCAACACTCCAAAGCAATAAGTGCCATATGAGACACACCAATTTGACAGAAGACAAGCTCAGCTGAAGGACATAAAGAGAGGAGAAATTCTTTGCAGGCAGCATCAAAAGCTGCCTGCACACACACCCCTCTCAAAGTAGGTGCATCCGAAGCTGGCATTTGTGCTATTACCACACGCCAGCGGCACAGACAATATGCTAAATCAGTTCCATTCCATACCCTGTATGGTATTTACCAGTAACAAACTCGCCACAGGAGACAGAGTATGAAAAGACACTAGAAACAGATTTAGCAAAAGGTTTATTTCATACAGCCTCAGCAAAGCAGTTTCAGAAGAGAATTACATAGGAATGGCAGAAAAACCTCTCAGACACAACAGCTTCCGGGCCGGCCCAAGAGGCACAAGCATTTGGGGATTTAAACAATACACACAGCAACCTGGTGGTTGCTAGAAACACAGGAGTTTTGCAGTATGCATTTGATTTAGCAGACTTAGGCAGCATCAGCCTGTTACGGCCCTCTGAAGACTGCTTCATCCCACTCCAGACAATCCTATCCAAATACCTTCAAACCTTTTGTGGCTGTCGTAGTCCTCAGAGCAGGGGACCTCAATGAACTTGTCCTGCAGGCTCTCACTGCGATGGGCCAGCACCTCCGTGACCCCATCCTCGGCACTCAGGTAGCTCCAGCTCAGGAGGCCACCGACGGCAGCAGAGGAGAGGAGGAACGCTGCCTTCAGCCACCTCCGCCGTGACCCTTGCTGGCCTCTGCTCTTCTTGGTTCCCCCGTAAGCGAACGACACGCTGAGGGCCCGCCGCGGCCGCTACCCCGCCCGGTACCGGGGAGACCCGGTCAAGGACCAGGGCCGGTACTCCTCGTTTTGAGCACACACGTACATATTTACAAGCAGACGCAATTTTATCCCCCTTTCATGCCCGGAGGTTACAGGCCGCCTCCCGA